CATGCGGAATTCCGAGTCGAAAATCGCAATCGCCGGAATAATGCAGCACGCGGATTCTGCTGCTGGTCTGGAAGATTGCACGAGGAAATGGGCGACTTTTCGCACAGCTTCGCACGAGTTTCTCGACTCCGTTTCGCCGATCGTCACTTTCATGATATTCTACGATGCTGTGCAGTTTTGCACGGTGGCTTACATGTTTTTGGCGAATGCAATTGGGGAGACAGAGTTCCAAAGGTTCTTCCTACTGATCGTTGTGGGATTCACCGGCATTGCTTTCGTGAGCATTTGGAGTTCTTATACACTTTGTCATTCGGTGGAGAAAATTACCGAAGCTGTGAGTAAATGAATACTTTGTCAATTTTCCGGAAAAATGAAAATTTGAATGTTACATTTCTTAATCGTCCAGGACGGAAAGGCGATCAGGAAATTGGATGAGTTGTCAACGAAAAGCTTGACCATAAGTGGTAAAAATGAGGTGCGTCATGATCGAGATGAATCTGGTATATCAACATTTTTTTCACCTTGCAATTAGCAAAAAAGTATTGAAAGAGTGGAATCTTATTCATATATTGTAATACATAGCTGTAAAGATTGCTAGATGTGTTTATATCAGTGAATGATTTTGAGGACGTTATATCTCAGGCATTCCAAGAAATCTTTGCAGAGGAGAGGTTGAACAACATACAAAATAATTAAAAAATTATATTTACTAAATTTCTAACGTAACACAACTTTTTTCACAGTTATATATAGCTTTCACAATCATCATAAATTCACAGATCGACAAATTTTTATATGGCTGAATAATTGATTAATCTTGCATTGAGACCTTCTCCTTTCTTCTACGAAAAAATTTCATTAGTTTTGTTTTCAAAAAAATGCAGAATTATAAAAATAAAGTGCAGCACGGAGTCTGCACCAAAAATTTTTCATATTTTATAAGAATTGTTGAAATTATATGGTTGAATGGTCTTACGACTCAAATCCCCGACAAATGATGAACCTAATCTGCAATAATGCTATACTTTTGAATGACAACCGTAGTTTATTTATGTCAGGTGCAACGAATCATCGCAGAAGGATTTTGTTTCGCAAGAGGACACAGAGCTATTGGATTATTCGGAACAAAGAAGAAGATGCTGGTTGCAGTGAGTTATTGAGAATTTTATCAAGTATCTAGAATTTTTTGTGACTTGTGGAAATGATTCATGTATGTATAATTCTAACTTATTTTTTTCAAGATGTCAAATGCGTTCATTACGTACCTGATCGTTTTGCTGCAATTCAATCATGATGATTTGTCGACAAGATCAACACACTGAGAGAAACACATTTGAAGTATCCGTTGATGGAAAATATAGCTCGAAAATAAAATAAAAAAAGGTTTACGGCGTGACGATAAATTTTCGGACTTTGCATGTGATTTATTTTTGTCTGTGAATATGTGAAGTAAATAGGTGTTCTTGGAATGTATGGTGTTGTGATCTAATACGGTTTACGCATTTTGTATTTGAAAAATTCGCCAAAATGTTTTGCTTTTTGTAACGGGCTTCTGATATAGAATATAAAGGCTTTTTTTCGCTAGCTTCGACGCGAAAAAACTAATCCATTAGTTTTTTCGCGTCGAAGACTAATGGATCAATGACCTTGGATCCCAGGTATTACCCAAAACTATACCCAAAATCAGCCCATATTTAAAAAGTAGTTTGTTTTAGCACGTGCACTTGATGCAATGATCCGGATTTTTTTTCCCTGGATTACATTTCAATATCATGCTAAAAAAAAGTAAACAACTGTTCAGCTGTGAGAAGTTCATTCGACTGGATACATATGCAGAATATACCTCAAACCATTTATTTAACTTCAAAACATGTACCGTATTCAACCCCAAAATTATATGAGAACCTCCATTACTTTTGCATGAACAATCCATTGATGCATGCTACTGAACTGTGCAAGCATTGCAGTACTGAACTGTACAAGCATTGCGTACTAAACTGTGCCAGCATTGCAGTACTTAACTGTAGTGCATAATGTTATCCTTATTTTCCGAAAGATCAATAAAAGACACTATCGCAGTTAAGAAGAACGTCTTCTTCTGTACGCGATTAATCTAATAAAGATTTTAACTTTCCAAGAACAACTTTTCGTCGAGAAGATTTCTTTTCCTGTAGCCCGAGTTTCAAAGTGAATTAGACTTCTCGTTATAAAGACGTGAATACGTATATTTCTTTGTTACTTCAACAAACGCCAGACCGACAATGAATACCAGATATACACTGCGCGGACCTTAAATATAATTCGGAATTTGATTCATCGTGATAGAGGCCTGTTGAGTACTTACGCTAGGCAATCTGGACTTCTTTAAATGCTCAACATTGTAGAAAACTACCTCGTCCGCGCTATGCTCAGTAATTTGGTCAAGACTTAATTAATTTGCCACCAGAGCCTGTCTGATACCCATACCATCGGCGAAATTGCGCATTTTAATTTTTAACTCTTCCTTCAGCTGTTTTGAAAACAACAACAGTTGAGAATCATTGATTGCCTTCTCGTGGAGACTTATCTCCATTAGATTGGGCTCGAGGACCTCTAAAATTGTTGTTACGGTCGCTAACGGGCCGTCAGCTGCTCTAATATCTTCAATTCTTTTTCGGAGCGCATCCTTCACCTCTTGGGCAGGACCAGGGTTGGCATTAAGCTGACCTTCGAGTTGCTCGATTTCTTTTTCTAATTCCTTCTTTCTCGTGGCAGCAACTTTGGCCTGCTCTTTGGGACTCATTTCAAGGAGTTTCCTATCCATGACAGCGTTCACATCTAATACTCGCGGCATGTCAAGCGATGAGACGTTCGCGGCGGTGCCAGATGCCATAGCAGAAATTTCCCTACGTTCACTGCTGAATTCACTTTTTCACAGATGCCGTTTTCAAAGGTACTTTTCGCGTATACCTGCGGAGGTCTGGAGCACTTAGTCTTCTACTATTTTTCTTCGAAGCACTTTTTAGTATTACAACTTTTGCTGTAAGCACTCACCCGGGGCAAAAAGGAATCTCGGCTGCGCCAAATTATGTTATCCTTATTTTCCGAAAGATCAATAAAAGACACTCTTGCAGTTAAAGAAGAACGTCTTCTTCTGTACGCGATTAATCTAATAAAGATTTTAACTTTCCAAGAACAACTTTTCGTCGAGAAGATTTCTTTTCCTGTAGCCCGAGTTTCGAAGTGAATTAGACTTCTCATTATAAAGACGTGAATACGTATATTTCTTTGTTACTTCAACAAACGCCAGACCGACAATGAATACCAGATATACACTTCGCAGACCTTAAATAGATTCAGAATAAACCAGACAAGCATGATGCAATTCAGTCTGGAAAACAGAAATGGGGACGGGGAATGACCGTAAACCAGACACTGTAAAAGTACGCAATATGACCTACTCAGATTCGGATCTGCGTTGCCAGGCAGAAGTATTGTTACGTTTCGGGACGTAAAAAGTAACAATTAGGAAGCGTCATTATAAACCTGTCATAGGACACTAATATTAATATTTGATGACAATAAATAAACATGAACTGCAGCCATTTTTATCACTTTTCTTCGAGCGTCATCTAGCGGACGGTTTCAATGTCTGAAGGAAGAAAGAGGCCCATTCACTGACACAGTGCAGCCGCCAGCCAGTATTGTGTACGGGTGTACCAGCGTTCCCCAATCTTTTTGGTCCCGCGGATCGGAAAATTTCCAAAAATATTTCTGTGGTTCCTGCAAAGTTTCATGAAATTTTCTGAGGGCCAGCAAATTTTGTTGAAATGTTTGCATGGTCAAAAAGATGTTGCTTAAAAGACAGCTTGAATAACAGGTATTTGAAAAGCTTTTGCTTATTTTGAAAAATTAATGCAGGATCCAACGAAGCAGCTATAGTGGAATGTCTTCAAAAAAGGGAAAAGTGGGCTTGAAGAAAGATTTTTCAGACTCAAAAATTAAAATAATTGGTCAAATCAGTTAAAAATTTGTCTGAAGTATTATTAGGATAAAAGTCAAGTTATATTTTTCATGAGATAATTTAAACTGCCATTGTCTTGACAAAATTAAAAATAAAAATACTGTTATGTCCTTCATTGCTACTTGTGAAAAATTCATTAGTCTGGACTCCACTCTGGAGAAATTTCCCGCGGACTGGCAAACAACTTCTGCGGACCGGCGCCGGTCCGCGGACCCCGGGTTGGGGAACACTGCTGCATACAATATGAATATACGAGGTGCAGTATACATCACTCACGTTCTGCTGTATATTGGAGCTTCATCACCATAGTCCTTTTATAATCCGCTTGTTTCAGAGGTGAAGTACGGAGGACAGAGTATTATACATTACAGTACATATTATCCTCCCACATGCGAGTAAATTTGTTCAGAGCTTCATTTGAATTTCTTTAAATTGTTTTCAAATGAATTATCTTTGAAATTTTCGTCATTAAACAATACAGTATATCGGATCGATTCATCATCCATGAGGGCATTGCTTCATCATCATGCGTTATGCATATGAAACGGATCTCCATCAGTGAGTGATGCTCTTGGTATATATTTCAAATCCGAGAACTAGTAATACATCTACATCAATTTTAGGACTGAAAATGTCATGCTTTAATTCTTCGAGTGGAGCAAGTCATTTCCCTCGATTATTTGTAAGGTTTATCCTGGAAGGTATACTCGGTATATATTGTGTATATGAACGTTCTGTCCGATCCATCAATGTCAAAATGCTTTCGAATCGGAGCCCTAATCCAGCTGTCGTTTCTAAAAATATGACCCAACAGAGGAGTACAAGCAGTGCTTGTAGTTCATTGCCGACGTTCCCGAGAAAACTTACACAGATTATTAGGACAGAGCATAATCTCGAGATTGATGGTCAGGGAAACAAGAAAACGTTTTACTTATTACTCCGAATAAGATGCTGTTTCAAAGAACGAACCGAAGTTCCTCCGGGAGCCTTTCGCAAAATGCACTTTTCAGTAGTGCAGGATTTGATTCTGCCAACAGCAGCAGCAGCAATCGTCGGCACTCCACCGCACATTTGCATGGAATCAATCAGCAGCAGGAAACGCATTCAATGGCTGGGGCATTTTGGGAAGACTTGAGACGATTTTTGGCTCCGAGTGCTTTCACAGGAATGTTTCCGATTGACGCACGCTCGGGGATTGGTCGACGACAGCCATTTTTCAGCCGAAAGTCCGCCCCATTTTGGATCTCATTGGTTGGACTCGTCTTGCAGTTCGCCCTGATTGGGAAACTGGGATATGGTGAGCATTTCTGTCTTGGGTCCTGCAGTTATGGTTTCCTTGATTGAAGATTCACGAGAAATTTGTTCAATTGGGATCGTCATTTTTCCATGAACACCGAGTGTCCTCGATGAAAATTTAAGATATTCGTCTGATAGTGAGAGGCAAACCAATTTTATTCCATCATACTCCTATATTATACGTTGGATTCACATTGTTCTTCTATAAAAAACTCTCTATTTTGACTAAGTGTTTAACTTTAATAACCTTCATAAAGGTCTGAATAAAAAATAAAGGTCAAAAACTCCAAAACGGTAAGAAGTAACGTAAGGATTGAAGCCACTTTTTCTGCAGTAAATAAGAGTATGTGGCACTCATAGAACAACAAATTTCAAAAGCTCCTTTTTGATGATCATTTTTAACCTTTAATTAAAGAACACTTTCAATCTATTGATGCGATTAATTTCCAAAATGTTGGCAGATAAATTCCCGTTGTGCTTAAATGTTTGAACCTCAGGATGTTGGGTGATACTGGTCACATTTTTCCAGACTGAAATGTTACTTTTTTGTCATACGTTTGACAACAAATTGGAAAAATTCCTCCAAAAATGCATCGATAATGCTTCCTTAACTGCCAATATGCAGAAAATATCTGTGCAGGAGAAAATGATACAGAATCGGCATGAAACCGAGTGGAATAAAGAATGGACGTTATTTTACGGTACAAAGTTTATGGAAAACTCCTAAAAAGAGTTGAAAAATTATCCCGTTTAAAAAAAAGCGATTGTAATATTAATTCTGACCTATGGTAGTTGCTAAATGCATTAATTTGGTACCGAAGTAAGCAAAATATCTTGTTGCAGTTCTGGAAATGTGCGTTGGTAAAGTGTCCCATGTTATTGAAACATGTTACAGACATCTTGAGGCAGATTTTAAGTTTTAAGTTCATATATATAAGTCGAATTGTCCTCATTTTCGTGCTCAACCGGATTAGGATGGACATTTTACAGTTCGGATATCGTATTACTGGTCCGGAAAAGGAAAATTTGAAGCTTTCCTTCCTCGCCTGCTGGTGTCATACACTTTTCACTGAAAATATTCTGTAATAACGATTTTCCAGACTTGTACAACAGCGTCCAAATCGCAAATGATCTGTCATATTCCCAGACGTCATTGTTCGCTCTGAAATTAAACCGATCTCTCGAGTTGATCACTGGACCAGTGTTGTTTGCACTCATCGTGTTCCTCGCCAAGCCCATCGTTTGCTCTTTGAGCAACATGAACAGCTCTGTGTTGCAAATCCCAAAACGTCGGAAACCGTCACGTCCAATGAGGCAAAAGGTGGCCAATTTATCCTGCGTGGGCCACGTTTGCTTCTATGCCCTGATGACAGTCGTGTCGGCCATGATTGAATTCGTGACCCAGGTCGGCAGAGAATCCAGAGACGAAGAGACGAACCTCGAGTGGGTTTTCAGATTCGTCGGGTTCGGCTGTACATTGTGGTACAAGGCAGCCATGGTTTGGTGGCCAGTGTTTATTAAGAAAATAGCAGAGGCCTGCACAGAGTCTTGTCGAGACTTGTTCGAAAGCACGATTCATTTCATGCGGAATTCCGAGTTGAAAATCGCAATCGCCGGAATAACGGAGCATGCGGATTCTGCTGCTGGTCTGGAAAATTGCACGAGGAAATGGGCGACTTTTCGCACAGCTTCGCACGAGTTTCTCGACTCCGTTTCGCCGATCGTCACTTTCATGATATTCTACGATGCTGTGCAGTTTTGCACGGTGGCTTACATGTTTTTGGCAAATGCAATTGGGCAGACGGAGTTCCAAAGGTTCATCCTGATCGTTGTGGGATTCACCGGCGTTGCTTTTGTGAGCATTTGGAGTTCTTATACACTTTGTCACTCGGTGGAGAAAATTACCGAGGCTGTGAGTACATAAATATTTTGTCAATCTTCCGGAAAAATTAACATTTGAATTTATATTTTTTAATCGTCCAGGACGGAAAGGCGATCAGGAAATTGGATGAGTTGTCAACGAAAAACTTGACCATAAGTGGTAAAATTGAGGTGCGTCATGATCGAGAATCTGGTATATCAACATTTTTTTCACCTTGCAATTCGCAAAACAGTATTGAAAGAGTGGAATATTATTCATATATTGTAATACTGTACATACCTGTAAAGATTACTAGATGTGTTTATACCAGTGAATACTGTTGAGGACGTTATATCCCAGCCATTCCAACAAAACTTATCAGAGGAGAGGTTGAAGAACATACAAAATAATTGAAAATTTATGTTTATTAAATTTCTAACGTAACACAACTTTTTTCCCAGTTTAAATGCATAGCTTTCACAATCATCATAAATGCACATATCGACAAAGTATTATATGGCTGAAAAATTGAATAATCTTTTATTGAGACGTTCTCCTTTCTTCTACGAAAAAATTTCAATAGTTTTGTTTTCAAAAAATGCAGAATTATGAAAATAAAGTGCAGCACGGAGTCTGCACCAATTTTTTTTATATTTTATAAGAATTGTTGAAATTATATGGTTTAGTGGTCTTACGACTCAAATCCCCGACGAATGGTGAACATCATTTGCAAAAATGCTGTACTCTTGTATGAAGACCTTAATTTGCTTATCTCAGGTGCAACGAATCATCGCAGAAGGATTTTTTTTCGCAAGAGAACACAGAGCCATGGGATTATTCGGAACAAAGAAGAAGATGCTTGTTGCAGTGAGTTATTGAGAATTTTATCGAGTCTCTAGAATTGTTTGTGACTTTTGGAAATGGTTCATGATGTACAGTATGATCTTCTCTTATTTATGTCCAGATGTCAAATGCGTTCATTACGTACCTCATCGTTTTCCTGCAATTCAATCATGATGATTTGTCGACGAGACCAACACACTGAGGGACACATTGTTTACGTGTGAATCAGTTATTATTTTCTAGAGGTCATTTTATGCATAATTTCCGAAGCATTCGTTGACGGAAATAGCTCGAAAAAAAATTTGAGATTCACAGCTTGATGATAAATCTTCGGGATTTGAATCTGGTTTATTTTTTCGTGGTCTGTGAATATGTGACAAATAAAAAGGTGTTCTTGGAATTTATGGCGTCGTGATTTGATAAGGTGTGCACAATTTTTATTTGAAAACTTTTCCAAAATGCCATGCCTTTTGTAAGGGGCTTCTGATATACAAATATGAAGGCTTTTTTTGATAGCTGCACCACAAATGAATAAATGAATCATTGACCTCGGATCCCGGGTGTTGCCAAAAACTGTACCCAAAATCAGCCCAGATTTATGAAGTAGTTTGTTTTAGCACGTGTACTTGATGCAATGATCCGGATTTTTTTCCTGGATTAAATTTTCATATCATGCGGAATTAAATTGATACCGTGATGAACATTCGCCAAATTTTAAAATCTTTTTCTATGATGCATTCGTACAGTTTCATTTTCTTTCCTTGAAATGGGTAATACAGTATTCACAGAATCAAAAAGTATATAGGCATGAAGAAACGCAACTCCGATTAGAAGTAAATCGTCGCAATTTTCTTTTTACCATTCGGTTGAAAAAACGTGCCATTGAATATAATTGAGATTGAAGTATAAATATTCCAGGTACAGTATACCATACTTTAAACGCTAGAAAACACTTATTCATCTATGTCAACTTCCGGAGTCAAGGAAATCGTTTTCCGGGAACTTGATGATTCGCTCATGGAGTGTGATTTATTCGCTGTCAAACGCCAATGATATCTGAACAAGATTCACAATCTCAATCACGTACAGCAATTTGTATCATTATATTTCCAAGTCGAAATGATATCTCCATATACACAGAAACTCATTATTATCCATTAGTGTCAAGGGTTACACTTTATTGGAACAATATGCCCTTAAATTTTACAGCTGACGATTGCAATTTGCACATGAAAAATCGGTGTGATTTTCAAAATTTCTTATTTGGTCCTTAAGTTTGCGATTCGATAAAAATTGCGCTTCAGCAGTTCTTTTGAAATAGAGAAAAAAATTTAAAAGAGAGTGAAAAACATTCGGTATGGTAGAAATTTATGAAGAAAACGATTTTTTGCAAACCAATACGCATAAAAAAATGTGTGAAAGCTACGCCAGTAAATGAGGAATTAATTCAGAATATAGAAAAAAAAAATACTTCGATAACGTCGTTGTATGCTCATCACGGTTTCTAGTTGGATTAATTAAATACGAAAGATTTTTATTTTTAAAGATTCGAACCCATTTCGCGAGGATGACAAAAATGGATTGCTTTCTTGATTTATAGGAGTTATCGCTACAAGATTCCTAGATAAAATATAATACAGTACTGTAATATGTCAAGAACCCGCCGCGCAGCGATTTTCTTTACGAACATTTTTATAAAATAGTAATGAGATTATGGCTCCCAATCAAAATTATGATTTCTGCAGTCGGATTCCTGTCACATGGAAAGCTATCATTTTTCGATCATCATCAGAAATGTTCTTTATGCGAAAATCCCGTCGCTGATTTCAACGGAGACTTCAGAAAGACTGTAGTTGAAAAAAAAACACGCAGTCACTCAATAACATATTTTGAACAACCGGTCCAAGGAATAACGTTGATTTTTGCAATCATCATCATGCAGCATAGCCGAGTTCCGGCACGCGACGATGATTTGAAAATTGCTGGTCGAAATATATTTTTTACTGATGACCAACGTCCATCAGAAATGCTGCGCAAACATTTCGGAACCCCAATGTTCTTCGAAGCAAATGTGTTTCAAGAAGACTTGAAGAAGTTTATGCTTCCTGCTGCTTTCGCTGGAATCTTTCCAATTGACGTGAATTCGAATGTACGTCATGCAAAACCGAGTTTTGATTTAAAATCGGCATCATTCCGAGTTTCTTGCATCGGATTATGCTTGCAAGTAGCTCTGGCTGTGAAATTTGCGCAAGGTGAGTCACCCTTTGAAAATTGTTTCAGGTAGACTGATGTTTCAGCAAGAGTGTGTGCATCATTTTTTATTTATGTCTTGTTATCCAAAAACTATAATTACAAAGAGTGCATACAACGATGATCAGTTGTAAGAATTTTTATAGCTTATGGAATTGAATCTGAGATTTAAATAGTTTTCCGCAACTTTTGAAGGAAACACAAAAGTTACTCTGTGAGAGTATAAGTAAGTTTTACTATATTCTTTCCACACAGTAAATACAATACAAATACTACAGAGCAAAGCAGCATAGATCTGGCATTCAGTCAGATTGTGGTGCAGTAAACTTAATGCAACATAAAATGCACCTGTACATATAGCTTTGGCCGGCCAAGGTCAAAGAATGTGTACTGAAACTGATTCCAATCAGGGACATCACACTTTGTTTATTTAAAAGGAAATAAGCTTGAGTGTGGTTGGGAAAGTATTACATCAACAATGGGGTTGTGAAATATAATTGCTAGCACACCAGGCACAGCCAAGCTTAACAGAAATACATAAGCTTAAAAGGGTTTTACAGAAAGTGAGGGGTGTTGTGGTTGTTATTATTGTGAAGTATTTCCAGAGGAATAATTAGTGTTTAAAATAAAACTCAAGAATTCGGTTGGGCTACAACCGGGGTGACTGAACACCCTATTTTGAAGTTGATATATTTCACATATAACATGGTACACTT